GCCTTAACTCCCCTAAAAGTGTGTTTCAACATTTAACCGATTTAAATGTTGTATATTATGTTTTTAAACTTATACATTTCGAAAAAGTTTCTAACTTAAAAATGACTTAAATTGAATGACTATTAAAAAAAAAAGCAGGAGCAAAACTAATTTCTAATCTTTACATCATCACATCCGAATTAAGCGAGATCAAGTATTTGAAAAAACACGACAAAAAAAAAATTTCCCTAGTGAAATTAACTAATTAACCCATATAAAATCTTAATTTATCATTTTTCAAAATTTATTTAAATTCATTCAAAATATTAAACATTTACTTTTACGGTTTATTAAAAAACGCTGTATTGAAAATTTGAGAAATAGTAAGGTTTATAAAAATCAAGTCAATTCAAGAGCTTAAGATAATAAATAATTCTCAAATTTAACTATTGAATAAAAATAATGCATACACTAATAAAAACATACGATTTTTTGATTAGGAATTTTAACATATACTTAATTCCTCACAAACACCGTTTAAAGTTCATATTAATTTAAAATTGAAAAAAAAATTTGCTTCAGCAGACGAAGAGAAGGATTGTAAATTTTCCTAAACATGCTTACGTAATGTTTGAGTCATTACTTTTTTTTTCAAGTATTTGTTAATAACTCTAATTCTGCCCAATATTTTACAGCGGATTGAAAAACAATATTGTTCAAATTTTAACAACTTTTATATGGTGCCAAATTGAACCGTATTAGATGGCTTCTTAAACTTGATTACTTGATACTATGGTTCAACTTAAAAGGAAGCATTATGCAATTTAATACCTTAATAAATTTGCAGCAACCTTGAACAATATTATGATTCAAAGTACCGATATTATGGTTCAGTATTTAATCAATTTTTTGATGGAGTATCCCTGACTTAATCCCTTTTACTTATTCAAGATATTTAATTTTCATTCATTAAATTATCAACGCGACTTTGTTAAGAGAAAAAAAAGAAAAAAATTTCAATTAATTAAAATTTATTATTAATTTCATGCTTAAATTTAAATTTTTACTGATTATATTTTGCTACCATGAATAAAATTTTTTAAAAAAATATATTTAAAATAAAGAAGGAAGAATCAGCTTTAGTTTTTTTTAGTTAGTTATCGGTTCATGACATTTAGTAGGATTTCGGATACTGGTATAAAAGATATTGAAATGAGGCGAAAAAATAAACCTAAAAAAACCTAAAAGTTCCTAGTTTTTATGATCCCCTTAATAGATGTTTTATAACATGCGTATGAAATAAAAATGTTTTGAAACTTGAATAGGTTTTTTAGGCATAAATAAAAACACCATGTATTCTGCTTTACATCATATTTTAATCATATTGCTATGTAATACCAAGCTACTGTACTGCAAGAAAGGTAAAATTAGAAACATTAATTGGCACATTCTTAAATTATTATACGAATTTTTGCGTAAAAGTTAATAAAATGGCTTCTATCCAATCCGGGACACTGTTTTCATCATTTATTGCTCATCATATCATGATTGATTAAATAGCTTTAAAATTGATCAATCTTTAAATTTTCAACTTTTCTAACTAATGAGACGAATAAAACAGGTAAATATTAGATAACACGTATCATTAAATGCAAAATGGAAAAATTATGTGCTAAAGGAAATGTAATGGTTGTTATTTAATCTGCAAGGAAAAAAAAATCTAGTAATATTACTGTACTGTATGGTAATGACATTTTCAATTTAAAAAAATTATTTTAAAAATTGTAATTCAGGTTAATAAAGCCAAAATTTACGGTACTTGAATCATTCATGTGGTACCGATTTAACGAAAATTTTGATTTTCAAAATTATAGGTTATAGTTCTTATTGCCACACATTTAGTAAAAAATACGAAACTTAAGAGTAAATTTTACCGAATAGATAATTTTTATGCCATCTAAGGTAACATGATAAAATTACCTATTTTTACCACATTTTCCGAATTTTTACACACATTATAAAATCATATTATATTGTAAACTTAACCAAAATAATTACTCCTAGAAAAATTACCTAACTTTTTGGTGATCCCATAGAGCGTGAAACATGGTATAATTAACCAGATTCTGGCAGTTTTGATTATACTTTATTTCTCAATGTGGAATATTTTATTTCAAACTTATACTGCCCATTGCATGATTATTAATACAATGACATCAAATAAAATTTCTGAATTATTCATTTCTAAATTTTCAACTTTTTTACTGATGAAGAGGGAAAAATGGGTAAATATCAGTTTCGAGACATCATTAAATACACATTATGTGCAAAGAGTAGTAAAATGGCTGATATCCAACCTGGAGAAATAAAATTACTAGTATGCAATTTGATACACTGTTATCAATACTAATTTAATCACCGTAATCTAAAGGTTTAAGCCAAAATTTAGTTGTAATTTTTTTTTTTTTTTAAACTTTTGGGAAGTTGAGGTAACGACAATACTCATAAACGTACATGACAAATCTAACGTACTGCTAAAAATATCCCGAATTAGTTAATCTCATATTAAACAAGTTTTACTAAGCAGAAGTTCATTTTTATAATTTTCAAGTTCATAACATGGCAAAATTTAATTATATATACATGATGCAATTTTAAAAATTATAGAATTCTATAATAAATGTAATTTAGTTATTTTGTTGTATAGTAAATGAATTATATTAACATAAATTTATTCCAAAATTCCATTAATATTCAATACTTCATATGAAATATAGTTATAATTTGTGAATCAAATTAAATGTTTATAAAAAAAATAGAATGTTTGTATTATTATTATTTTCGAATTTCTTGCAACGTAAGAAATGTAAAAAAGAAATATAAAGTAAGTCGCTAATGGAATAGTTTAATTTAGTGAGCCCTTTCAAGAGCTCTAACAATATATACTGAAGTAAATGAATTAAAACAAAAACTTGCCATTTTGTCATTATTATTGTTATTACACAAAATAAAATCTTGCACGAAATATTAAGAAAGTCAAAATGTGCATGTAAATCAAATATAAATTTCTTAACCTTTAATTTTTTTTTCACTCAAAAATATAGAATTGAAAAAACATACTCAATACCTCTATAGCATAATGTTGCGTATATAACACTACTTCGGAGGAGCATGCTACATTTTTCTGGCACAAACGAGCACAATACGAAAACTAGTTTAACGTTGTATCATAATATCGATGTTTAGAACCATAATATCAAGCAAATAGAGTCATTCAAATTGAACCATTGTACAATGTAATCATATTTCTTTTTTTTAAAAAAAATGATTTTTTGGTACGATAATGTGGCTTATTTTGAAGCCACATTATCGTACTAAAGGTCTATTGCAAGTTTATCCAAATTTGAACAATTAATGTAGTTTAACGCGATATAAAGTTTCTAACAGTGTAATACAATGACTTTAAAATTCTACTTTTGCTTCGATTTAATTTTTATGGTTAAGAATTTTATAGGTCTATATTTTATCACTTTATCTACGATTTCTATTCTGAGATTAATGATATTCTGATTAGTGATTTCTGTTCTAAATGAATGATTATTTGTAATTCAAATTCAACATAACTAATTAACATGCAATATGTTACATATTAATTAGCTCGAACATACCTAAACATGCTAATTATCCAGAAGGCATCACTAGATTGGAAAGTTACAAGAAATGTGACGTGCAGATTATGCAGAAATCTTTAAAAACTAATGCTTACACATAATTGAAATTTTTTTTAATCTTTTGTACAGTTTTTGAAATGCAATCCACAGTACATTTCTCTTCACAATTGATTATTTTTAATTCAAATCTAATCCATTTAAAAGTACAAAGATATGTGCCACGGAAATTTGTAATATTAAAGCATGTTTATTCATTTGAAATAAGTTTTTGTAAATAAAGGTGTTCGCCAAGTATTATTTATAAATAATTAGTTGTCATATTCTGCTAAAAATCAATTTTTAAGGCAACAAATTTTTTTTTTGGCATGTTAAATAACATGCCTTAATCTATTACACCTTATTACAATGTAGTTTTTTTCTATTACTTAATACACTTCAAATAATGGAATAAGATTTCTATAATAGCTTTTATTTCAACAATAGAGCCTGAATCCGCTTTCATATGACTTTTAAAAAATTTGGAAGGCGTATGGTTCACATTATGGTTCAAATCTACTGCTTAATATGGTGCCGAGATGACCCATATTTCCTACTTAATGAACTTTATTGCATAATACTATGGTTCAGTTAACAGCGTAGATTTGCACCCAATTATGGTTCAAAACATAGATAATGTGGTTCAACGTTAAACTGATTATCGCTGATGAAGTGATTGAATCATTTACTTCTTTGGTTATATTTCTTGATAGAAAAAATGTTCCTAAGATGAAAATTAAAAAGCAACATGACGCAAAAGTCAAGTAAAAAATTGTCAGCTCTCTTAAAAAGAAAGAAAAATCTTTGTTTTCATTTTGTGGATAAAAAACATGTAGTCTTGAGTATTTGAAATTGACGTTTTAAAACGATGTTCTAACATTATACTGACATCCTTGTAAATTATTTTTAACGAAAATATCACCACTTTTTTGACAATTTTCCCATTTTTATCAGGTTTATTCCATTACTACTGGTAATTATTTCTTAAGGTCAACAATACAAAATTTTCGTTTATATTTTAACCCATTTTAATTATAAATTTAAAACGAAATCCAGTTTAAAAGAAAGCTAAATTTATTATCTGATTACAATAAATTGAATATTCGAATGTGATTCTTTTTTGAACACCTGCTCAATGAGAAAAGCTGCGAATTAATGAAGATTTATTTACGAATTTCAATGATAGATTCATTATCATTAAAAAGCAAATCGTGAAATTTTCAATTGACAAAAAGAAGCTCTCATTCATTATAAGCAACCACGTGCCAAAGTTAGTGCATGAAGATTAAAGTTTCGAAAACAAAATTTACTTACCTCTGGTATGGACACTAAAATCAATGGCTCCATCTGGTTTACCTCTTGGTTCACCAACTTCTTGAATGTCAATTAGATTGGGACGACGCACAACGTCTCTGCCTACATTCAGAAGTCTTTCGATACTATACAGTGAGAATCTACTGGGCTGTCTATCAAGAGTCGGTCTTGAATCTTCCATTTCCATGAAACTTTATAATTCTGAGTAAAATGTCCAATATCACAATTCGCTTTACAAAAATATACACGGAAACTAAACTTTTCTTGCTCTCTGAATGAGTTTAATCATCTTCTCTCATTTTCAGCAACAAAGTAAGTGTTCACTACGATCGTTTAACTCTTATAATCGATTACTTGAATGGATTAAAATCGTTTGCTTTAATTGTTTCAAATAGTTTTTTAAGCAACGAAATTTATCGGTTGCTTGAAATGATTACATTCGTTTTATTATTTTTTTGATCGTTTGCAGCTCTAAAAACTATTTGTTGTTGTAGGAATTAATTGCCTTTGCTGATTCAATCACTTCATGTTATATGTCGGCTCATTCAAGAATATTTGTCGGCTCATTCAAGAATCATTGTCGGCTCATTCAAGAATCATTTATTGTATTGAGGATTTTTTTTTTCTGCAAAATGATTTTGTAAGGATATTAGAATAGTTTGTAACTGCAAACTAAATATTTTATACTTTTTTAATACTTAATTTAAAAGATTTGTTAAATATTGGCTTGTAACACACTTTTGTTTTATTGAGTATTCCATTTGTTTTACAGCTAAATGTCTTGGAAAGTCCTACATTCTCAGGGAAGAATTCAGCTCGAGTCGCAAAGTGCTGCATGCTTTTGACAATGCATTTAAAATTCTATCGACACATGCCATGTAAAGTTTATGATCTATTACTGCTGTCACTGTTGAGATCTGGAAAGAACGTTTTACAACTGAATCAGGTATCAGCGACCATAGGGGAGGGGAGGGACCGGAAGGACGGATGGACAGCTGGAAACACCCCTTCCTGCAGAGAAGGACCGGTGAACTATCTGGTTAACGCAATTATCCCCCGAAACGAAACCTTGAGCACCCATAATGAAATATTTGTCTAGAAACGCTTAAGTCGTTTGCCGCTCTCTGATTGGTGGATGGGGGGTGTGCTTCGGTTGCCGCCTAATTCCTCAACTCGCTCGCTGATACGTGAATCGCCTTCCAACGAGCCTCGTCTTGTCGGTCAAGTGGAGTGCTGGCATTTGGCGACAGATCTCCACCTTTGGCATTCTAATTTCTATTAACACATTTTTTAGTAAAGAGGCAGAAGAAAAAAAATCATTGCAATTATAAAAAGGAAATAATAATAAAGAAAAATGTCGGACTTTGTCTGAAGAGTTTGTTTCTTTTATTATGGATACAAGTACTTTATTTTTTGTCAAAATGAATTTCAAAATATTTTGGATGTTTATTTGCTTCACTATTTCATCAATTTTTTATACTACTCCACAATAATCTATTCAATTTATTGCGGATTAGAATTTAACATTATTTTGAAAGAAAAAAAATTGGGTTAAATTTTTATTTTATATAGGTTTAAAAAGTAATATCTTCCTTAGCAATTATTGAAGATGGAACATATAATTAATTTGACATATATTGATTGAAGACTAAATTATTGTGAAGAAAAAAGACAGCGTTTTAAAATTCTTTATTTCAACGACACTTTTACTGCAATAGGTTTTCATAATACTGTTTTCATAAAAGCATACAGGACTATTGTCCTAAAGGTTCTAAAAAGGAAAAATGTGATTAGCATAGAAAAAAAATGGCTAAATTAAAGTGGCTCGATATTTTTTCAAATTTAAATTTCAACTGTAACATGTTATACACATTTTCTAATAAATGATTTTTCAAATTTCAATAAAAAATATTTCATTTTTGTGTAAGTTATGCATCTTTCAAAATAACGGAATGAAAAAATTAAAAATCTTAAAAAAATTCTCTTACTTCTCTCCACTCATTTTTTAATATTTAAAAACTTAATACTTTCAAAGAAGTTTTATGTCACCATAAAATGTTGATCAGTTCAAAATTAAACTATTTTAAAACTTATGTTTATATTTTATACGTATGAGTTATGTCTTCTTTAATAACTGTTATTGAAGATTACTTTATATTCAAAAATACAGGAACAGCAAATGTTCTTGTATGCTATATGAATAATTCTTCATTCGTTAGGTTAAACTGAGCTTATTTTATCTATTTGCATAACTTTAAAATGTCGAGAAAGCATTGAAAATAATAAAAATTAGGAAAAGAGATGAAGAGAAATTTTTAAAATAAAATATTTAAAAAAAAGTATTTTAAAAAAAAAATTTTTAAATTTNAATAAAAAAAAAAATTTGAAAAAAAAAAAAAAAAAAAACAGAAGCCGAAAAACAAAATAATGAAAATATATAATCTCGTCATCATCAGCCCACACGATTATATCCGCGAAAAGGAGTGCACTCCTTTTTACGGATGATTAGTTCTATATACTTGCAGTTTATGCGCAGTAAATAAAACTTATTAATTTTCTTAATTCTTAATTTTTTCGTTTTCACTCTTTTCTTTTCATCCTTTTATATATATATATATAGTTACAAGAANGGTATTATAAATTTTATATGCATGTATCTACCTATATATATGTATATATGCAGTGAAACCTCCTGTTATGGACACTCCTGCAAAACGGACGCCTATCAATGCGGACATATTTTTAATTCCCCGGAAATCTTCTATGAATAAACCATTATGTACGTTCTCCGAAAAGCGGACACTCCCATAATCGAAGGTGGACGGTCAATATCGTTATTTCGTTGTATTTTGTTATTGAAACGTTATTTTCTATCTCTTCAAACCGAACACTACTTTTTCAAAATTTGAAGAAAAAAAAGGAAAAAATAATTTTTTCTGCTTTAAAATGCAAGAAAAAAATTCAGCTTTTCAACATTTTTAAAGCATGTAAATATTTTGCCTTATCCATAACTGAAAATGCTGTTAAGCTATTTCACTACTAAAGAATCAATCTTTCTCCTGTTTCCATGCCTTATCTTTGTAAAGAAAGGAGAGAAAATAATGTTGCACTTGTGAAATAATTCGGACAGTGGCAGCTTTCGATCTTTTCTTCTGGACAACACAGGTTATGAGACCTCTCAAGTTGAAATGATGTCTTAAATGCTCTCAATGTTTCTTCTTCACTGAAAATTTCTTTCATTTTCTTATCAATTTGAAAACTGTATTTAAAACAGCTGGTGTGAAAAAGAAAAAAAGAAAGAGAACAAAAGTATAATCTTTGAGGTGTGTGAATAAATGAAATAATTATTCAGACACTTGAAAGACTATCAATTGTGATTGAGTGAAAGATTATCAATTGTGAAAGATTATCAACTTCAGAGGTCCTCATGACTTACAGGTATGCATTGCTCTTTTTTTTCGGTGAATCATGGGAGGTTTATCTCTAGCTACATCTAGAATTATGTATTGATATCAAGTTTTTCAATATATTCTTTTTCATAGAAGAAATATTTTTTAAACTTTAAATAAATACTCTTGTAGGTAGTTATTGTAGATCATTTAATTATTTCTATATCTCTGAAAATATTCTAAAAACTATGTATGGTGTTAAACTTCGTTATAAGGGTACCATTCCCGTAAACGGACAACTCTCATAAACGGACAATTTTTTCGGTCCCAAGAATGTCCGCATAAAAGAGGTTCTACTGCATATATAAATATATATATGTATAAGAAAAGTAAATTTTTTTCTTAAATAATGTTGCTACAGTATTTTTAATAAAGTTATTAATGAACTTGGGGTAAGTTATTAGTAAATTAAATTCTGTTCAAATTATTTATAAGGTCATTTTCTATAAAAAAAAATAATAAAAGAAAAATTGCGGAGTTTCCATTTAGGCAAAAAAAATTTAAAAAATTTAAAAAAAAAAAAACTTTTCAATTTAAAAAAAAAAGGACTTCATTATCAACTGAAAGCTTATGCGTGTTGCCAATAGTAAAAATCAAAGGGAATTATTTTTAAAAATAATGTCTCTAAAGTTAACGTGAAAAAAAAATTTATTGCCTTTACATTCATGACAATTTAAATGCAGTTTAGAATACTAAAAAAGAATCCTTAGGGGTAATTTGAAAATAATGAATGTAAAATACTTGTGAAAAAATAATTTTACTGCTTTAAAAATTATTATGTTTGGACGCATTTTTAAGCAATTACTAAAAAGAATCTTACAGGTTAATTTAAAAATGATGCATATAAAATGTTTAAATAAAAAAAATTCTTATTGTTTAAAAAATCATTACCCTTTTCGATGCGATTTTAGAACAGATGCTGAAAAAGAATCCTAGGCGTTAGGCAGAATAATTTCAATAACAATAACTGCAGAAAATATTTCATTTTTAAATCCATTGACATAGTTGACGGTAATATTTGAAAAAAATATTTCGTTTAGTAATAGAAATCTATTTGAAACGTTGTATAAATAATTTTCTTGCATTTTTTAAGTAAAATATTAGATTTATTTGGGTAAATTAATTTATGGACTCTATTATTTCTTAACATTATAATAAAGAAAAAAAGTAATTTTAAGTCTGATTTGAGAATAAATATTGACTACACGTACTGTCACTCATTTCAAGAAATTTCGATAAATGATTTGTGTAAATTATAACAGAAGATGCTTATAATTCAATTTTTTTCAAAGAAGTATTTATTATTACAGATTTTCTTCTTACAGAAGATTTAAGGCACATTTTTAAAATTATAATTATGTGATTTAAAATAACCTAATAAGTAGTCAAATATTAAGCAGGAATTATGTAAAATAGATGTGAGAAAATAACAATTTTTGTTGCTATTTACACTTTTAGAGATTTTTTAAATATGACTCATTCAAGTAATTCTTTTAAATGTAACACTTTTTTTAAGCAATTCTAAATCTGTAAATTTGATCAGTGTATATATATATATCTATATATATATATAAATATATATATATG